GTTTTCGTCTTGGCTTTCAAGTTAACTTGTTTGTTCCTCCATTATTGAAAATGCTCCACTATGTTTTGCTTACTCTACTGATTGAGGTCACTGATTCAGCCTTTGGAAGGTAATGTTACGAAACTATAGTTTGGAGAGTCAATCTGTCACGGATAAGACGAACAAGTGTTCGTCATTTGCATGTGTAGCTCAAATATAATCCACAAGTTGGCTTGTAATAATGGCTTATCTTCATTGGTTGTTAGGCCTGACATAGGTAAACAATTCTCATGGCTAGTTTTGTGTCGAGAGTTCTCATCTGCGGCACTCTTTTACTTGATCCTTTTCAGTTTTCTTGTGTCGAAGGAAAATCTCACCCATCTCTTCATTGTATGCTCTAGAATCTGATTCCAGCCTCACCCGGTCCAAATTCTCACTAGTTACAAATTCTTTTGACAGGTACATGATTCCCTGCATGTGCAAATGTTTTCTCTCATATATATATATATATATATATATATCCAAATATGCATATACTTATGTGATAGAAACTGAAGATATTCGAAATCTTTGAAGATTTGGTGCAGGGTTGAAAGGGAGAGTCTGTTTATATTGCACTCAAAAAATGTTTCCTGTGAAACATTGGATAATCAGTTTTGGCTTGTTTTCATGAATTTGTTTTATTCAGAGGCCTCATTGGAATAATTTTTTACTTCTAAGATATCCTTGAAGCAATAAGATTAATTTCCTTCCATAATTGATGATATCAATTTTAACATTCCATAATTGATGATATCAATTATGGAATGTTAAAATTTTAAATATTTTGTTAAAGCATATATTTGATAAAAATGTATCATGGACATACATGGAAATTCTAGTAAATATTTATATGATTAGGTAGGAATAAATAAAAGTAAATAAAAGTATTTCATAAGATCTTTTAGAGTAGCTTCCTAGAAGCTTCATAGTTGCTGCTTGACTTTACATGTGTTTGTAGTTGATTGGTAGGTTAGAAACTTCATCAACAAGTTAACCATGTGTTGATAGTTTGTGGAACAAGCTAAATATGTGGTGCATACATAAACAACTTGCCTTGTAAGTTAAGACATGTGGCTAGCAAAGTTAACACATGTTGGAGATCCTATAGAATATCGCCACATAGTTCCTAGTTAGAGAGTATATATAGAGGCAAGAGTAAAGTCTTTTTCACTCTTGTCAATGCCTTTTTAGTCTTTAGTCTTGTTTCAAGATTTTCTAGTCTTCTTGTTTTTGGCAGTAGCCATTCTAGTTTAATATTACATCATTTTTTGAGTGACTTTTTAGTTTTCTTCAATGATACAAGAATGTATTGATGACTTTCTTTCTTTGAGATTCATGTCTTTGATATAATGTTATATTTATTAAAATATGATATTATATTATCTCAAATTTTACAATACATACAAATCTTATATTTCAAACACACATTTTTACTCCTATAATTACTGTCATTAATTTCTCAACCACATCTTAAGATAAAAAAATACCAAGTTAATATTTAAAATTGTCTCTATAGAAACAATCACATTAATAGATAAGTCCTAAGTACTAAAGATTACTAAAAATGTGATAAAAATATTATAAAACCTTATATATTCTTGAGGTGATTTTTTTTTTTTTTTTTTTTTTTTTTTTTTTAACTTCAATAGTTCATATCTCATGATTGGACTGCCCAAACAAATCAAAAAATTTCATGAAGTATTGATGTACTTTTAAAAACTACCACTACAAATTTCAACTGCAATTTCATTGTGGATCTTGAGATATAGCTAAAATCCTAATAGTAGCTTTAAACCCTTGGTTACATATACCTATATGCAATTTTCTTTATATCTTACAAAATAAGTACTCAAATATCATAAAATTTTGATATATAGCTTCTTAACCTAACAACACACACTATTGAAAACTTTGAGCTAAAAATTCATCTAGAAACATAAGATATGGCTCCAACCATTACTATCTACAAAACAACTAACTTACTACCTTCAAATTACATATATTGTCTTCAATGCTTTATAATTCCTTCATATAAACTATAAATGCAAAAATTCTTTCACAAAAGACATAGGTCTTGAAATCACCCTTGCGGCTACACCTCTTGATCTTCAAAATCTGTTTTAAAATTCTTTGTATCCTCAAAAGAGCAACAATATGTTTTAAAAAGACACCTTAACTTCTAATGGCTATAATTTCATCACCTTAACTCCAAATCTTTCAAAATTTTCACATAAATTGTAGCCCAAATCCTAAACCTTACAATCCTTGTTTTTGGTTCTTGAATGCTCTTTCTAAAGTTGCCAAAACCTTTGTTATGGTTGGAAACAACCTGTTGAATGCCTAGTGGAGATGACCTTTGACTGATAGGGATGAAGATCTTCACCTTTTTCCTTCATCCATCCATATCTTTTTGTCTTCCATCCAAATGAGTTTTTTAGAGGTTTGGATCTTCATCTTTGAGCTCCAATCTTTTCCTTAAATTTTATTCTAAATCCTATATAATTTAAATACTATAATCAACATAGATAAAGTTCAAAATAAATTTTCTTCTATAAACTTTCTTTAAATTAACTTACTAACCACTCTAATGCACATATTTACAAATATATTCCAATATTTACAAATATATTATATTTTTTAGTTAATTTTTACATACTCTAAAAAATTACTATACAATATGAGATTTTTATCCTTGATATCTTAACAACAATAAAGATTGTTCAATATATTATCTAAATTAATATATTTTATTCTAAGAAAAAAAAACTTAGTTTATATCCAAACAATTATTTTCTAAGCAACTCTTATTTTAAAATAAAAAATATAAAAATATTTAATTATTTTTTATCTAAATTATTCTAAAAAAACATGTTATTTCTATTTCTATTTCTATTTTATTTATATAAAAAATAAATATATTTTTATAAACTTCTAATAAATTCAAATTCAAAAAAAAATTTAATATTTCTAAGAATGCTTTGTAATTTTTTATAAAACACAAGCATTTAGTTATTATGTACATAAATAATAACTTTTTGGATATTAGATATTTTAGATTCAATAAGAAATTTAAGTTTTCACTTTGATAAATTGAATAACATATATTATAAAAACATTATCAAAGACCTTTTTTATATTAGACATATTTGTTAAGTTCAATTTTTTTTAACATTATTTCTTTAAGCTTTTTCAACTACTAGCTAATTCAAATTATTTTTGATATATAGATATATATATATATATATATATAATATTAATAAAAATACATCAATTACTATTCATTTATATTCTAAGCATTTTAATGCATATTGCTCACACATTTAGACCCTATAAGCACACTCAATATATATTCTTCCTACAATGGATTCCTTAGAGTATACTTATTACTCTTAATTTGATTTTATGAGTAAGAAGTGTATTTTAAAATTCATAACTAATATGAAGTCTTAGAATTATATGAACATTAATTTTAATAAATAATTTAAACAAATGTCAAATTTGGATATGAAATCTCAAATGTTAAGGAAGTGAAATATGGTAACTTTCAAAGCTTGTGATTAGTTGAAATTGAGAACCTAATTTTGATTGACTTTCTAGTTAAAAAAATGAGATAGAATGCACTTACTTTTTACATGAAATGAATCACATTATTCTTTGGGATTTGTATTAAGCCCACCTTTAGAAACAATCTAAAAAATATTTAAACATTTATATTTAAAATTGTTAAAAATATTCATTAAAATTCAAAAAACCATTTTTTTAATCTATCAAAATTGTCACAATAAAGATTGCAGCTATCATATTTAGAATTATGATAAAAAGAAAATAAAAATGACTTGGTCCATGTGATAGGTATCTCTCTTAATATTTTTTCCAAAATTTCTAAAAAACTTTATTTTACCAAGTGGAAGATCTTTGTAAAGCTTATGAACAATGACGTTTCCAAAGGACTTGCATATATATAAAGACTCCCTCAAACTTTACTGTATCAAAGAGATTGAAAACAACACAACAAATACCACTACCTTCTGTTGCAATTGATAATCACAAAAATTACAAAATGATTATGACTTGAATATCCTACTGCTAACCAATGTTCGTAGCAACAGAGCGACAATCCAAATTCTGGAGCTGATCACTCCTCACTAACGCATCTAAGATTCAGTCTGAAGGGCTAGAGTTGGATACGATGGCACTGAGGAATAGCTTCAATCTATTCTAATGAGAAGCAATGCAGCAATGTGAACTGTGATTCTACCAAAAAGTATTGTACCTCAAGCAGTGCCGTTGTGAGACAAGAGTGTGAGTTGCTTGGCATTTTGGTAATTAGGGTTTGGAGCTGCAGGGATTGGCACCTGTTGGGAGTCTTGATGGGTGTAAAACTCTACATGCACCTGGATAACTGCTACATCTTGTGATTGTCTTTGAATGCCCTGCACAATAGTTCACATGTTAGAGGTCGCTTGGAGATGATAAGTGGTTAAGTACAAGGTAAGAATGAGAAACAGAATGAAAATCCTTCGACACTCACATCTTCTGCATATAACCCAATTCTTGCATCCTTAGAATTTGAGTTGCCTGTTAGACTCTCATGCAACGTGAGACCTCTGCACATTTCAGAGAATGGTTTAGCATCCATGACCAGAGCTGAAGCAGATGATGGGTGGGTGGCTACAGCCAAGAGTGACCATGATGTCCGAAACTGAGATTTAGCAATCACATATTCGTCGAACACACATACTTCACAAAATTTGCTAATAGCAGCAGCAGTGTATTTTCTTACTTGTTGACAAATCACGAACTCTAAAATGCATCACCCAGCGCAAGACATAGATTAGTTTTCTTAATGTACATCGTCGAAACTCGCGTATATATAGCAAATGTGCTCACCCTGTAGTTCTCATTCCTTGAAATAATCAGACACCGGTGCAATCTTCAGAAGCATCGTTTACTCCAGCGGTGCATTATGACCTGCAATCAATGTCAAATTTGCAATCACATCGAGAATCGAGCCATGCCGAACCAAATGGGCTGATTCATGTAAGGCATATGTCACCTAGTCAATACAAAAGCCATAGAAATGGGGTCACAAACCCTAGCAATTTCAGAGCCTAAACTGGACGAATCGTAATTGGAGCCATTGCTTAGATAATCTGTCTGCCGCTATCATCACGCTCTGTTCAGATCAACAACTGGGGTTCTCCTTTCACTCGGTTGTAATTCGTCACCTGGATGGGTGTTAATAGTTTGAGTCCCAGCGAGTAGATACTAAACCAGAGACTATTAAAGTTCAGCCCGGGAAACTCTATCCACGGCCTATGGTACTTTTCACCTAGGTGTGAAGATTTCCCAAAGCTACACAAGGTTCCTGTCAATTGAGTTCTCACTCTTTACGTAACTAATCTCAGTCTGAGGTGCGAAATTTAGGTGGGTGAGCATTGAGGGACAGTTTGTGTTGGCCTTTAATTTCGTGGCTGGGCGGAGGGAAGCAATGCTGTGAGGTGCAATATAAATCTAACTACGGGTGTAAAACGCACAACCGTGAAATGGGTGGGAAGCATTTGTACCTCAATGTGCGGGATCACGCGGTGCGGTTGTGAGACAGGTGCGTGAGCTTACTGGAGTTGTGAAACTGAAGGTTCGGAACTGCAAGGGAACCACGCCGACGTTTAAGTACTGGATCACGTTTTCGGACGGCGTGTGCCTTTACTTCCTTCAGCAGGTATGAGTGTGCACATTTTTAAACGGATACCTCGTTTGTAATCAGATCTCTATAGAGAACCGGCCCAACGCACAATGTGTACACCTATTACCGCAACGGCACCAGTTGCCTATCCGTGCTTTTTGTGCCTGGATTGGTTTAAGTGATTGATCGCCCTGCAATGTTTGGTGCATAAATTGAATTCTTGCCTTCGACATGATCTCCATTTTGCACCCAAGTTTTGCAAATTGAAACATGTCTACCGATCAGCTAATGGTCTGCGTTTACAGATTGCCTGTAAAACGCACAAAGGTCAGCAGCACACCTCGCCAGGATGACAGTGGATTCAACTGCCCCACCTAGGAGACGGCCCAAGGGTTCATTTGGGGTTCAAACCCCAGTGTCAGGTGAAGCAGTGATTCTTGAATCTCCACCTAGAAATTATGAAGGCCCGAAGTTCGTCGCTAATTTATTATCATTGGACCGGCGACATTCGAAATGGGTACACGAGAATTGCCTAACGGATTGGGCCTATTTTTTTCTGCGGTTTTTTGAATATTCAGGTTAAGTTCTCTTAGTCTGTCTGTCCTTTTTTTCTATTTCTGAATCCTTGAAAACTACGGATGACTCTTTCTGAGAAGTGGTATCACTCAAACTCAGCTTTCACCGAAGTTGATTATCTTGCGTTTTACGACCCAGCCATAGTTGCTAAATTGTTCGGTTCCTTGCTGAATAGTGCTTTTGCTCAAGTTTTTTCGTGTCTGAAATCATAGGAGTACTGCTTGCAAGATAAGTGAAACTAATATCTGATGGTCTTGTAAGGATTGGAGCCCAAGAATCGATTAAGTCTTCTTGCTTCACTTCTGGCTTGTTCCGATCCTGGTTAGCTGAGACGTGATCATTCTTCTTTCAGGTGATGGATTATTTTGGTTGCCAGCAGCAGCAGCCTTCTGGATATCTCCATCGGCTGGGACTCCTGATACCCGTATGTTTGCTGCAAATCTTTTTGTGAGCTTGATATTCGACCTCATTGTGGTTGGCTCCATTAAATCTTTTGTGCGAAGGAGGCGACCGTCTTACAATAGGGGACACTTAGTTGTTGTCTCACTGGATAAGTGGTCTTTTCCTAGTGGCCACTCCACGCGTGCCGCGATGGTTATGACCCTCTTCTGGCTCTATACCCCACTGTGGCGCTCCCTGATAAATCAATCCTGGTATCCTTATTTGGCTCTTAGGTTTGAGAACAACTCTTCCATGGCACTGTTCCTTCTGCCATTGGTAGAAAAGCACCTTTTGGTTATCGCAAATTGTGCGTTTTCGATTTGGGCGTTGGGCACAATCTGTTCTCGAGTCGTGTTGGGCAGGCACTACATTCTAGATGTAATTGGAGGGGTAATGGTTGGTATGCTTGAGGCCCTTGTAGCACATTTTTTCTTGCATGTGCCTACCAAGGTTTCAGAGTTGCAGCATGCTTATCTGCTCTCTAAGTACGTCTAATACGTAGAAGTATTGTAGAGGATTTTGATGGCTGGAAATTTTCCACTTCCTTCATTGAGATGAATAGAAAGATCATTGAACTGACCAGGGGACTTCGTGAATAGAAGTTGCGTCGCCATAAAGGTAGCCAATAGTGCGGGTTCGATTGTCAGTTAAAGGTACCTCAAGTGCCAGTGCTATGATTCGAAGGGGACATTATTGCGTTAGATGTGTTCTCCTTTTGCATGTGTTCATAGTTCACACATTCTTTACAGGTCTGTATTGCAGAGTTTTGATGATACTCAGGGCCTTGCATGAATAATTCTCATTGCCGGGTTATTTGGAACTTGATTCAGGAAAGTATGCAAATTGAATTTAGTGTCTTACAGAGGATAGTTTCGTTGAATTCTTTTAATGAGTCGGTCAATGTTTTATGTTGTTTCCACGTCTCTCAGACGTCAACAACTAGGCAAAAGACCGTACTTGGACTAGAAATCCGCCACATATGCGTAAATTGTACACCTAGGAGAAAATAAATTTCGAACAAAGTTTTTTTTAGTCTGTGTTGTGTCTTTCTTTTAATTAGTACCTGCAGTATCTTTGATTTAAAAAAAATTAATTCAGTAGTGATGAAACAATACTTAGACACTGTAGATGAACTTGTAATCTAGAACTTCTTCAGCTTGTGATCTCCAGCTATTGAGTAGGTTAGCAGTAGCAATTTCATTGACAATTTATTGTGTATGTGGTTACATTGTGCGTAGCAAGGCACTTCGCATTTCTGTATTCAGGTAAGTTTGGAAATGTTTACAGCAAAACATTTATGTATCGAGAGTCTCAGGATGAATTTAGTGTGCCATAACAGCTATGGTATATGCATAATCTCAACCCACATTCAGTCAAATGCACATCATGTTAAATTTAAGTTAACTAATTGGAGTATGGTTTCATGGTAAGGTACCATAGAGATCATTAGAGTTTTTTGATATCCTATAAGAATATACAGTTGGAGTGGATTTATTTATTAGTTTATAAAGAATAATAATACAAAGTTTTTAAAAACTAGTTAACAAAGAAATTTTTGTTGAATATATTGAATCAAAAAAAGTACACTTGTGCAAATTAAACTTAGATAGTATATTCATATTTGTGTTGCCATTTTCACTAAAATTAAATTAAAAATTTATCATCAGCATTTAATTTAAAATTTATATACTTATATAAGTATATTATTTGATTGAGCATTTATTCTTTGATGATTAAGTTTAATATTAACAAAACATGATTTATGTAAATATTACAAATATTACTTTTGTAAAATTTTAACTATAGCATTTTTTAAAGCTTGTATATATATATATATATATATATATACATATTTTTTAAAGAGAAATTTATTATTATGCCACTAAAAAAATATTTTATTTAATATATGGATTTTCAAAAAAAAGCTTTAAAAGACAAGCAAAAAATATTATAATAAGAGATCTTTTTTAAAAGAAAAAAATAATTGTTTTGTATTAAAAACTAACATACTTAAAACTTTAGAACAAATTCAACAATGACATATTATCTTAGTAAAGAATAAGTATAGATACTTGATACACTTTAGAATTTAGTTGAGATGTATTTGAACCATAATATCATGACTTATACATTTTTGTATTATTATATAATAATAAGAGGAAGTACAAGCATGTTTCTATCAAACTTGGATGATATTATAATGATATACAAAAAAATGTACCAAATTATTTTAGAATTTTATGTAGAATATAAAAAAAGATTATAATTTTGATTACAATTTTTTCTACATCAATTCTATTTCTAATTGATGTGTCATTCGAAAATCTTAAAACACCACAAATAGAAAATGATCAAAACAAGAGAGTTAGTAGGTTTTTATTAAAACAACTGAAGTAATTTTTTTAAACCTATTTTAAAAGTACATAAGGATATACTTAAAACAAAAGAAAGGCAATTTTATTTTATTACTAAGTTGAAAAATTCTTGAAATTAATCTTTTTCCTTTTATATTTAAAAAATAATAATAAACCATTCATAATTAATTATCTTCCAAGTATAATTTTTAAAAATAAAAAATAATTTAACAAAAAATTTAATAAGAAATTATCTTACAAGTTTCATGACATTAATAACTAAATTTACCTAAAAAGGTCTATTATTTATATAAAATAGAAATTTATTTATATTTTCTTATAATAAAAAATATACTATATTCAACCCATATAAATATTAAAAAAATTAGCTAAAATTTCTATGTTCAAATGATACTTCTAATATTGTGATATGAGTTTCATATTAATTGAATATTATAATAGGTCTTCTATGCTTCTAGATTATTGCTTCAAGTAACAACAATTACATAATTGTCAAGTACAAAAAGAGTGGAAATAATTATACTATCTAAAAACACCAAAATTTACTTTTAAAAAACTAATATTTATTCAAAATAAACAATATGATTCTAAATACTTATCTAACAAATCTTTTGTTTCCAGATAGCTAGTGAAGTAGTTTTTTTTTTAGTTATTTTAAAGATTTGTCTTGTCAAAATTTAAAAATAATACAAAACACATACAAAAATTAATTTTTATCTTATAATCTTGCAGGAGAACTTCTATGGTATGATATTAATATTCTTTAAGAATTTGTCGTATTTAGAAATTTGATAAAATCAAATTGTTTGGTTCAAAAATATATAATTTTTTAAAAAAAAATTCTTATTAAAATTATTTTTGATAAAATTTTAATATACAAATCAAAATCAACCAAAGAATTAATTTAGTACGAAAATTCAAAAATAATCTTAAGCCTATTATCAAAACTAATAAAAGACTTTTTTCTAGAACAAGATAAAATTAGTAAGAGCTGTTTGGTGTATATATATATATATATATATATATATATATATATATTCTTTTGAAATTTATTTATTTTTAAAATAATTATTTTATTTCCTTTATATTTGGTTTATGTTGTGTTATCTCTTTTCTAAGTCATCTTGAAAAGAGCTTGATTATTATTAAATATCCAAAATATATAAAGCTTCAAATTTGATTAATTAACTTAAATATTTTTAAAAATTATAATTATCACTATGACTTAAATTTAGGAATTCTTGTGTATTATATTATATTTTATTTCTACATTCATTTCATTATTCAATTTTTATCACAGTCTTACATAGAAAAGATAAATTCTAAAATTTTAGAAAGAATACTAATTTTCAAAGAATAGACATTTTTGCTCCAAAAAAAATCTCATTGTATATTACATATTTTATATACTCTGTATAAGTTTTTTATAAAAAAAATTAAACAAATATCCACCATTGATAAAAAAAAATGTGTTTATATTTATTTATTTATTTATTTATTTTTATTTTTTGTATTTTTTTTTATAAATTATTACTCAAAATAAATGTAAAAAAATGACATAGTAAATCTAAATATATTTATTGAAATATCCACAGTCTACAAGACAAATTTTAATAAATTTTATGATTTAAACACATAGAATGCACTTTCATTCACGATCTAAATCATTATATATTACTGTATTTTTTGCCTTATTATTATTATATATTACATCAAAGTTAGTATAGAAAATTACTTTAGTTTATATATATATTTTTATATATATAATTTATTATTGAAAATTTTATAAGAGATAAATGGAATATTATTTTTTTGATACTATTATCTATCTTACAATCTTTTTGAATGGATAATAGTTGCAATAGTATTGAAAAATAAAAAATAAAAAATAAAAAAATTATTGATGTGAATTGAATTTGATTAAAGCAATTATGTCACAACCTTACAAAAACTTTTGCTAGTATAATAACCAACTTAGTACTCAAACAACTACAATAAAAGAATTTAAATTTGTCCAACAATCAAAATTAAGTAAGTTGTAGATATCCAAGTCACTTAATCTTTGCTATGGACCATCAATTACTTTAACAACTCTAACAACATACCAATTTGATGTCATAATTTGAATTTCTTTAATTTTATTTTTTAGCTTCCAACTTGAGGAAATATTACTACATGTGCAATATAATACAAAAAATAAGATAAGTATTAGCTTATATATTCTATAAGCTATTATTAATGTTTTTTTACATATATTATCAAAACATCATAATATGTTCTAATTAATTGATTATAAAACATTAATTTTTTAAAATATGTGATTTTTAATAAATTATTCGATTATTCTATAATGACATAATTAAATAAAAAAATATGCATACTTAAAAGTAAATATTCTTTTATTATTCTTGCCAACCTTTTCAAAACAAATTCTCAAATTTAAATATATATTTTAAAACATTTCTCAAACAGTATTCCAATTATAAATAATTCATGATCCATATCAACATACATCCCATCCATTATTTTGAGACTATCTTTGAGGTATTTCAATTGCATTCTTAAAATATTAAAACCATCAATCAAACTTGTGCAAACTTCTACAATCTCAAATAACAACCCACCAATCCATCCAATAACTACTACATATACACAACATCTTGCACAATTCTATTGCCATGCATGAAATTTCCTTTCAAGTACTTCAAAATATTTCTTCATCAACATCTTTTCGCAACAATCCCAAATTTCACCAACAAATCAACCACTGATTTCAACGGAGAAAAAAAAAACAAAAGAAAGAAACAAAGAGGAGAAGAAAAGACAACATGACGAAAAAACACACACATCTTCTGAGTACAAAAGACAACTTTTTGCAAACAATTCTGGAAGTGGAGACCAAAACAAAGGAACTGCCCAGTGTGGATAAGGGCATTGGGGTGGAGCAGCGTTTGTGGGTCTTCCTGCCATCGCACTCAGATTGCAGGGTTTTCTTAAGGTTTTGCGAGCTTCCCCTGCACTGCTCTACCTTTGCCTCTGGAAGTCTCTGAAAGGGCCTTGTGGGTTGTGCTGCTACTCCCTTCGAAGTTTCTAAAAGCATTCACTTTGAGGGTTAGACATTTGCTGATTGAATTGGTGACCTTGAACGCGTTTGTCTGCTGAGATTTTTGGATATTGTGCCGTGGTGAAGATTGCTTGCCTTTCCCGGCTGGCGTTGGGATAATGTGTTGTTAACGAGCAAACGTGGCCATGGCGGCCATGTTGGGGTATGGCTTGAGCAACTCGGGGCTCTCGCAGTCTCACCAGGCTCATGTTTCTGTCTCCTGTTCTCATTTTCCTTTTGATTTCAGAGGCGTTGTGTACTTCACGCCTCACTCCAGGCGGGGCTTCAACCCTGTATCGATTCTGCACAATTCTGCAGTACTCGAGTCTAATTTCGTATGTTTGTGTTTTTCCTCGTCGCACTTGAGACCCTCTTGGATTTCAATTTCACCGATTCAATTTAAGACGTCTTATATTTTGCAGCCGCTCATTAGACCTAAAGCCTCTGACTTTACTCTTAGATCGTCCAATGTGGACAATCCTGATATTGGAGTTTCCATCAAGCCTAAGCAATCCGATTACATGGATCCTAGCACATCTGAGTCAGCCTTGGCCCAATTTGAAACTATAAGTCCAGAAGATGTCAAAGTGTGCTTACGAAGAAAAGGAATGTTGAAGTACTACACTCTGTTAGCTGGGCAGCTCGCTAGCGAAGGTTACATGACTCAATTCACCGAGTTGCTCCAGGTATGTGCTCGTGAGCGCACTTTGAACCTTCTCTCAACATTGTGAGCCTCCGCCGTTCCTCTTGAAGCACTAAAAGTGTTAGTTGAATATTTATTTTGATTTGATTTAATTTTCAAAAATGGTTTCTTTAAGTTTTGAAAATTACAATTCTCACTCTGTCAACAGACTTGCGAATCAAATGAGTTAGCAGAACATAATTTAATTGCAGTAGAAGTTTCTTGATCGGTGATTTGAGATGTATCGACTAAAACTTGAGGAGTCTGAACAGAATGCTGGACGTTTATCCAGTTTAACGAGATTTTTTTTCTTGTAGATGCTGGCTGATGCGGGAATCGATAAAGAATTATTCACCTATAAATTAGACACCGCTCAACTGAATATCGGTTTCAGATTGTTGCTCTCACGACAGCAACTCGACTTATTTGTAAGCATTTTAAGAAATCTCACAAAAGCCGGATATACCGCACCGAATTTTGTTCAGAAGAGCACGCTAGACTTATTAGCTGATGAGCTTCTGTCGCTCGTGAAAGCTGGGAGAACTGAATTCTGCGTCGAGCTTGTGGAATATCTAACAGGTACAAGTTAAATCCTCATTTTGGTGACTTCCGAATGTTCGTAATTTCACAATGAGGGTTTTGAGATAGATCTTGATCAGAGTATCAACTACAAAATCATATCTTGTGATTTTATTGTCTTTTTTATTTATTTTTATTTTTTATGTAATAAATTTTCCCAGGATCACAGAGAAATAATCTTATATAATTCTTGTAGATTCTCCTCATTTCTCATTAGGAACATCGTCATGCATGTTAAAAGGTTACAGTAGTCTTACGTCATTTCTACGTCCTCTTGGCTCCTGCACAGTAGCGTTAACTAATTTATTGTTTTGAGTATTTCAGAGAGCGGGTTTTTTGTTAGAAATTTAATTGATCCTGTTAGTGTGGTTTCAAGCTGCGCAAAGTTACGGAACATTGATTTGGCTAGGAGGTACGTTGTTGCTTGAAACTGGTTCCTTCTCTTGTTCACTTGTGGTTGTAACTTTGTCTGCACCAGAATTTTTGCCGCTTTTATCTGAACTTTGAAACTGGATTCGTCTTTCTCCGCGGTCTTCGACAGCGGACTTTCGGAAGTTTGTTCTGAGATTTGTTCATTACTGCCACTGGTTTCTATTAGGAGTTATCTAACTCACTTTCTTGCCTCTATCAGGCCGAAGTCGTTTGCCATTTGTTCCAGAGAACATTAGTGACATGCCTTTTCACTGCAGTTTTGATGGAATTTCACATTATGATATCGTAAAATGTCACGTAAATTAAACATCAGATCACTGAACAAATTTTTGGATAGATGATTGCGTTTGAGTTATCTTTAACAGTGCTTCAAATTGTGCAGATTTGTGGAACTCCTTAGTCGCAATCCCTGGCATTACAACCTTATCATACGCGAATTTAGTCGTCATGGTAACCTTCGGAGCTGTTTTAAAGTTCTGGATTTCATGAAAGAATTGGGAGTTATGCCTGACGTGTTTACATACCGTGTTTTAATTGACTCATGTGGGCGCCACAAAGAGCCATCTAAAGCGACCATTGTTTTCGAGGTTTTTTCCTTCATCCTCGGAATTTCATGATACATATGATGTCAATGCTTCAGTGATCATCATCCAACTATGTTTCATATTCATACCACTAAATTCACGAGGGCTATCACACCAAAGTTTACACTGACCTTGAGAGTTTCATTTAAATAATCACACAAACGAGGTCATTATGTATCGCCAATGTGGCTGTGTAGGGAGAAACTTGGACCACGGTTACTCTCCGACAAAGATCTTGTGATGTAATCGTTGCTTTTGATATGTGGTTTTGATCTCGTTCAATTTTTGGGATGTGCAGAAGATGCTGAATGACGGGTTTGAACCGAATAGGTTTGTTTATAACAGTATCATGAATGTCAATGTTGGTAACTTGAGCGAGGTGCGGCGTTATTTCCAGCATATGCAGGTAGCTACTTTGACTAGTGTGATCACCTACAAGTAAGAATGGAGTTACCTATTCATGTTGAAAATGGAGTTATTCATCTAGAATAGAGTCTGATGACTCATTGTACGCAGTCATTTTGAAGGCAGTTTCTTAGAGCATTTTTAAAGAAGAGCCAAACTAATGAATAAAGCAGGGTGCAGGAATTGCAGCTGATGTAACTTCCTACAATATTCTGCTCAAGGCATATGCAGCCAGTGGCCGTGCAGACTTGGCAGGTGATCTCTATGCTCAAATAAAGAAGGCAGGCAAAGTGACTCTCGATGTTGTATTTTACAGCACCCTTATCAATGTGAGACTCTTATCTCTGACGAGGTCGCCTTTCCTTGAGATTTGATAGATGACCTCCCTCTAGGACGCTTTTGATGATTGAAATTGCTTTTAGTTCTCCAGTATGCCGTTCCATTTAATACTGAATTTTATAAAGCTGTATGGTTCTATGCTCTCTTCCAATCATTGCAATTTTTATTGTTTTTGGCCATCAGCGTCTTCTGAAAATTCAGTCCAGTTATCCCTATGTGTCTTCGCATGGCTGAAGCATTCTATTTTCTGGCACTGATGCGATGATTTCTTGCTTGTAATCAGTACATATGATTTGTTGTAATGATTGGTCTTAGTTAATGGTGAATGCAGGGCGAATGGCCAAATAAGTGTAGTCGGTTTCTGAAGCAGTGTGGCTATTTAACGATTGCACTTCATTGATCAAACCAAGAGTTACTGGCTTATGAAACCGTGTCAGTGGCCGTGTTTATTTAGAGACTGTTCGTAGTTGCATTGTTCTGTTGCTTGCTATTTGCCTGCAACCTCTTGTTGTAGCTAGTCTTTCTTTTTATTATTGATGTCGTTAGACTGTACCCTCAGGTCTTCGGAAAAGCAAAGATGTGGGAAGAAGCATTGAGAGTTAAAGCCGATATGTTGGAAGCCGGGGTAACTCCAAATGTTGTGACATGGACTTCAATCATCGGTGCTTGTGCTACTGCAGGCCTTGTGGATCAATCCTTCCGGGAATTCGATGAAATGCTGAATGCTGGTTGTCGTCCAAACGTGAATTGCTACAACATGCTTCTTCAAGCTTGTATCATGGTAATTCTCCTCACTTGCTTGTCGTTTTTACAGGCTCTAGTCTCCTGAAGTCTGGAAACATCGTTCTGGAAAAGAGGACAGTGCTGTTTGTAGTTGAAACGATTTACAATTGATTAGACGTGAACTTTCTTCGTTTTCTACGTTCATTTTGTAAATGACCTTGTTCTCTATTTACAAAAAGTGTGGTTCTTACGTATGCTTTTTGTTCGAGATACGCAGGCAAGCCAATTTGATCGAGCGTTTCTGCTTTTTGAAGAGTGGAAGACAACGGGGAGAATGCGCTCTTATTCTGAAATCTTCAATTACTCTGCTCCACTCGCTAAAACACATGAACTTATAACTGTTATACCTGGATCCTTGCTCCAAAGTAATTTAGGGGAGAAAATTGATGAAGATGTAAGGTTAGCTTGTTGTAGGCCTAACATCATTACATATAACTGTATGATGAAGGCATGTGGTTCTGCCTCGGAGAAAGTGAGGTCCTTGATGAGGGAAATGAGGGCTTTAGGCCTAGTTCCAGACGTGAAAAGCTGGTCCATTCTTCTTGATTCTTATGGGAGCAAAGGTGATGTAGAGGGAGCTTCGGAGGCACTCGAAGAAATGAAGGCGGCTGGTTTTAAACCAGATGTCGTTGCTTACACATCCCTGATCCAGGCGTGTGTCCAAGCAGGACACCTTGAAAAGGCTTTTGACTATTTTAGCAAAATGAAAGCTGCGGGTGTGCGACCAAACGCAGTCACATACAACAGCTTGCTGCGAAGACATCGAAACTATGGGACACTCCCTGAAGTGCAACGCGCACTAGCTTTGTACGAAGAAATGCGCGAGGCAGGCCACGTGCCGAATGACTTTATACTTCAGGAGCTAATCAAGGAGTGGGTTGAAGGCCTGTCCAATCCGTCGAGTTTTGTAGCTTCTGGTGATGCCGGCTTGATGAAATTCTCAGAAGCAGTGCTTCAGAAAGTGGCTGTTGATGCGAGGAGAGAAGCCGAGGACAACAGGCACATGACCATAGACTTGCATGGCTTAACCAAAGGTGAGGCTCGGGCAGCTGTGTTAGTTGTGCTTCGAGCTATCAAGGAGCGCTACCTGCATGGCATTCCTGTAGAGGATGATTTGATAATCATCACAGGGATCGGCAACCACAGCGAGACGAAGGGCAAGTCAGTTCTGCGGGATGTTGTCCTTGGCATTTTGCAGAAAGAACTTGGCCTCACTGTTGTCTCAGTTCTGTCAGACGCTCCGGATCGTCAAGTTTCTGGTTTGCAGGTTGCAAGAAGTAGTGGAGATACCAGTAGTGCAGAGGACGAGGAGCTGCGAAAACCCCTGAGTGGAACACTTGAGCCTAGGAAGCCATCCAGAATAATCAACTCAGGTAGACTGAAAGTAACTAAAGAGTCCCTCAATACCTGGTTGGAAAAGAAATCTCGAAAGAGTATTAATTAACGATTGGTTTAGTTTTGCATTTGCTGCATGTGATTAGGAATTGGAGTACCGAACGTGGTGTACATTTTGCTGCGGTCTGAATGATCAGGATCGATAAGTGTCGGTGCATAGCTTTAGTTTGTAGAAGGAACTTGATTCAAGGGGCGTATTACCCGTATGGACTTGAAATCAACCCCAGTGATGGTGGATTTCAATCCTGTGTATGAGAGTTTGACATTGAGGTACCGTAACTAAGTGCGAATTATCTAGCAGCTCATCAGCAGTTAGTCATCTCTTGAAGGAACTCTGAACATAGGAAAGATGGTACATGTGAGAAAGTGAAGGAATGTGAAAACTTTTGCAGCAAAGAAATAAATCTAAGAACATTTGCAACAGTGATCATACCCTTGCGTGGAGGTTTGTATGAAAATATCATTCAACAAATTTGCATTTGTAAAATTACTGTGAAGCAAAGTTTATCAAATAATTACAAATAGCAAAGATGTGTAAGTTAGTTTTTTGAAACTTTGTGATGAAGTTGGATAGTACTTAACTAAGGCTTAAATTGTACCATTCATTGTTGAAAAATTGTACCATTCATTAATCCTGTATGCTAAAGAAGCATTTGCATCTGTAATGATTGTGCTGACTGCAACAATGAATGGTACAATTTAAGCCTGGTACCAATTCATTTTCAAAATTTTCTTACTAAGTTTTTTTTTTTGTCATAAGATATTTTCTATCAAAAATTATCTTTTCTAATCTACCTAATTATCAACTATTTACTGTTCTAATTGGATTAAGTCCTATTATATAAATTAACAACGTATCCTTTCATCTTAAGGTGTATTCTTGCATACTTTTTCAAATAATAAGTTCTTAATCCTATTATACAACTTCATGTCCTAAAATGGCCGTGAATTGGTATTTGTTAGAATAGGATTAGGTTCAATATTGTTTTAAGATATTCTAAAATATTCTAAAACGAGTAATTATAAATTCAAGATTGCAACACATCAAGCTTTGCAATTATTTTAAATTTACAATTAATGGTAGAGGTTGTTTCATAAATCTTTTTCTGACATAGAAATTTGTATTTTAAAAAATACAATAAATAATAATAATAATAATAATTTATTTGGATTTTTAAAATATCTTTCTAAGGTAGTTGAAATACTTTCATAAATAACAAAGGTTGCATTTGCATTGCATAGTCTACTACCAAATTAAGTGTTTTAACTAATTCATGATGATTTTGCAATACACTTGCTAAAATGTAACTTTGTATAATAATCTAATTAAGCATTGTGTTATTACTTATTAGACGAGATGTAATAAGTTTTTGTAAATTTTGACCAAATTATTGTAGAGCATAGAAGTTAATGTTTATTGCCAATTGTTTTGATAAATACAACATTTATTGCATATAGTGTATCCAAGCTATTTATCAAATTACTAATATAAATCATAATATGTTATTTGAGTGTTATCAAATATGTATTAGAATAATAGTATTTGCTCAAAAGATTTTAGTTGGCTTCTACTTTCTTCAATAATTTGTAATGTTTATATACAAAAAAATATTATACAAAGTTGCAAATTACTTCAACTATTATAGAAATAAAGTGTAGATTGTTCTTTGATAAGTTAAAATTCAATATTAAACTCACATTCTAAATCCGCATTTAAAACAAATGCAAGAAAATCGACATATTTTATACATGTATATATACAAAATATATAGTAATAAAATTATTGGATGAAAAGGTGAATAAAGTCCAAAAAATGCAAAAAACAATCTAAGTAAAAGTTTGATAGATATTCTTTTAGGAATTCATAGCTTATAGATTGAGTACAATTACAGTTTTATTGTAATGTATTACATTTTTTTATGAAAACAATTTCTACTTCTTTTGTAAGGTTATAAATAGACCTAAACATTGTAGAGTAAGTAGAATTTTAATTTAATTGGTTTTAATAATGAGTTTAAAATATAATTTTGCTTAAATTACCATAAAGATAATTGGATTAATATATGGTAGAGAACCATTTGTGAGACAAGGCTGGAATTAAATCCCAAAGAAAGAAAAGAAGAACCTATGGCAAATAGGGAGTTATTTTAGAGAGCAAGGTGTGGATTTAGAAAGGGGATTTTAAGAACATATGAAGAGTGTAAATTTTGTAGGGCTTTGATTTAGAAAAGCCCATTAATGAGACGAGCAAAGAGAAGGATTTGTAAACAACACAGTTTCAAAAGTGCTAAAGATGAATGTAGATTCTATATAATTTAACAAATAATAATAATCTAAGATTGATCTATAATTAAATTTTTGTAAATATTTAGATGTTTGCCATAGGTTCTTGGTACCAATTAATTCTTGATTTTTGTGTAATTTTAATGGCTTAGTTGAGAGATATTAGACTTGATATAGTAAGAGATATTGGAAGTGTACAAATTAATATCAATTTCTGAATCTTAGATATTTAAAGTTCTTGATATTGGATAAAGTGTAAATTTAAGATTTTAATAAAAATATATGATATTTGAATTAAAAAAAGTTTAAAAAAAATGGCTAAATTTTAAGATTAGGCTACTAGAATTCTTCATCAAACTTGAAATACAAAGCTAAATTTTATCAATAATTTTTTTTATTGATTATAATTTATAATTATAATTTTTTAATATATTTTTGATGTTATACATGATTTTTATTGGTAGCAATGTAAAATACTTAAATTTGATGCAAAAGTTAGATTAGAAGTTGTTATCTTCTAAAATTCATTGCTTGAAATTTAGGAGTTTTTACGATTTCTTTAGGATTTAAAAAAGCTTTTTAGAATTTAATTTGGATTTTTTAGGATCTTCATATAATATTTTAAAGATTTATCTAGGATTTAATTAAGATTTTATGAGGTTTCTTTAACATTTTCTTTAGGTTAATATAAATTTTATTTAAAGTTTATTTAAGTTTTTTTTAGAATTTAGAATTTTAGAAATTTTAGATTTTAGAAATGTTAAGACATATACTTTAAGATTCATAAAATGTAGAATTCATGGTTGATATGATCTACAATATAAGATTTAAGAATTCTTATATTTAGGATATCTATACAAAATAAGATTATTAGAAAAAATATTTTTAAATACCATATATATATATATATATATATATATATATATGAGACAATTCTAGGCTATAGATAATTATCTTCTTTAGCTAAATGCGTAATAAATTCCTAAATTTAGTTATAAATTATAATATTATTAAATAGTAGTACAACTAATGAATAAAAAAATCAATAAAGATTTATTCTATATATATATATATATATATATATATATATATATTACTCAAATATAAGTTGTTTAAATATTTTTTATAAAATATCTCTTTTAAATATTTTTGTATATCTTAATGATTGATAAATCCATCCCTGTTTCTCTGTTTTCAACCATTTTCTTTTTCCAACCATTTCTTCTATTCCTAATGTTTCCAACCTCTTGTCCCTATCCTTAGCAATGGTTGGAAATGGAGAATGGCTAAGGACATGAATGGAGGCTACACGGGTGCAATGATGGTTAAGATAGAGTGAGTCCCTTTAGTAAAAAATTGGATCGCTTTATCATTTTTTTTCTCTCTCTCTCTCTCTCTCTATATATATATATATATATATATACATATAGATCTTTTTTAGTATATATTTTTTAAAATAAAAATTAATTATATTATATTATTTTGTGAATATAAGAATTTAATAGTATGTATATATTTTTATTTATTATAAATAATTTTAGCTATTATATCACAAATTTTTAGAAATTTTATAATAAAGTTGTAAATATATTTTATATTTACAAAAAAGACATATTTATGTACTAATAATGGGATGTTCATACAATAAAAAAATGTATCTACCTAATTGATATTTATTCAATTTTAGCTTGAAATTATATATGCATTATTGACTTTTGTATTAAAAATTCTTATATTGCTTTAATATTTCTATTAACAAATTAAGATGATAAAAAATTAGTATAAAATAATAATATTATTTTAAGAAAAAAATTAAAGTTAATTGCTTACATATTTAACCATAAGTATTATAAGATTGATAATTGAGTTGCAACCACTTATGAAACAAAGTCAAAATCTAACATTGATATGTAAAAATAAGAATTAATATGAACAAAGTTTTTTTCTTTTTGAAGATTAAAAGATCTAATTAAATAAACATCTTTAAGAATTTTTTTGAAATATAATTATTTTTGGATTATGACTTAAGAAGTGTATTTGAAGTAATGATTATAGATATGAATTACAACAAAATTTTAAAGAAGATATACAATTATATATTATTAAAAATAAAATAAAATAAAATATTTATAAAATATAAATTATCTAAAATGGCTATTTTTAAAATACAAATAGACTAAAGAGTCTTTCTTTAAATAACTTGTAGTGTAAAACAAAAAGATTGTTGTTAAGACTATAGATGGAATTTTTCTTGTTTCTTTATATATTAGCTATGAAAATAGTCTTACAAAAGCTTTCTCAAATTATAAGGCTTGTTATCCAAGTACCAACTTATAGGTTGCTTCTAATGCAACCTCTTAAAAATAAAAAACTTATGGCATAAATTTTGATAGCCTTACAACATATCTATAAAAATCTAAATATATTATTTATATTAAAAAACTTCTTTGAAGCTTCTTAAGAAAGTTATTAGCTTTCTAACATATTTTTATTTTTATTTTTATTTATTTATTTCTATTTATTTCTATTTAGCACTATTAACTTAGATAATATAGTTATCTATTATATAATTTCTTCTTTTAGACAAAAAATTCCATAAAGAATGCTCAAATTATTTCATAAGGTGATGAAGTCTAAAATCAATCAAATGGTGTTAGGAATAAATATTGATCTTTGTTTTGCATGAAGATATTTAATAGGTTCTTTTAAACATTAATAATCTTTCATTTTTAATGTAATATATTATTATAGCTATAGAATGTTTAGCCAAGTGGGCAAAAGAAAAAGTTGTCAAGATGGTATATATTAAATAAACTACCATATTTTAATATAAAAATATCACAACTTAGTTTGGTTGTCATAAATAATGGAAGTTTTTATAAGGAATATAAGGTGTAAACATTGGTTATAAAACTTATGTACTCATTCATTTATATAATGGTTCTAAATCAAACCTATAGATTATTTTTATACAATAAGGATAAAAGTAACAAAGGCAAGAAAGGCAACAAGAATTTTTAAATATTCTTTCTTTTAAATTTTGGTGGTCTTCATTTTGACTACTAGAATTAAATCACATTATTAGAGATTTATAATCATATAATTCCTAGTTTAAATTTCAATAGAAATATAAATGCTATTCAATATTGAACTAGTCAATAAGTAAGAAGTTGTTTTTTAAAGAGACATATTAAATTAAATACAAATAAATATATTTTTTTCTTTTTCTAATTACTAAGGTAGTTTAAAGTAGTCTTATTTTGGTATTAGAATTATAAAAGCATAAGAAATATTTTAAATTTTTATTTAAAATTTATTTAGAATTAATTAGGAATTTTTGAGTAATTTTCAAGATATTAGTAAGACTTGGCAACTTTAAAGACTTTCTAAGACACTCATGTATACTACTTGTGAGCCTTTTTTTATTTTTTTCAATGTAAGTTTTCATAAAACTTTGTAATTTAAATTATTATGATCATATCTTATAATGGTAGATTAATTAATCAACAAGGTTTATTTTATATCGTGTACAAAAATTGTTACTTGTGAAGATATAGTCCAAAAAGTTTTAAAAACAATAAAAATCTAAGATATGTATTTTTACAAAAGAACAACCTTTAATCAAAGTCAATGATAAGATATTGTTACTTTGTCATAATATCAAGACTTTTTGGCCTTGTAGTAAGCTAGATTATCAATTGTCTTTTGGATTTTTATTTAGATTGACGTCCTTGATACTTAATTATGATATCTTTTATTCATACCTCAATTTTTTTTCTTTATTCAATTTATAGATCTTCAAATTTTAAACAAGTTTTCATCTACATTTAATAACTCTATATTAATACATCTTTGTATATGAGGTCAAATATCACCAAACTCCTAACTTGTTACAAAATTTAATTTGAAAATAGACAACACAATGCACATGCAACAATTGTGATTTATTAAAGTATTTCAACCACCTTAGAACGGTAAAAACAAAAGTTCAAGCAAAATATAATACTTACTTGTAATTTATAATCTACACTTACTCATTTTATAATACATCATAACTTCTTGTAAAATAAAGCTAAACTAACAGTTACCAATTGCTGACCAGTTTAGGAGATGAAGTTACAGAATATTGCTAATATACTTTCTGTTACCAAAGAGAAAATGAACTTTTTGAATTATAGGTGTTTACTGTCAAACTAATCAACAGTGCTTGGTGGATTTGACGAACAAATAGATAATAATTTGGTAAAATAGAAGATGTTTCGTTTCTGAAAAAAAATCCCATATACACCATCTTTCTTAACAATCACTTACACCAAGTCTTATTAATTACAATAAGAAAATTGTATCTCACTTCACAAACGACGGCATTAGCAGTCCATCTTGTTAACCTTACAACAGCAAACTACATAAGAAACATTTTCTGAAATATTATGTATCCACATAAATGTGTGTGTGTATATATACATGTATATGTATATATATTTTAGATTTCTTATTGTATTCCGATCCGGATAAGTTTTCAAAACTATATTTGTCGACATATATACAAATAGAATCATACATTACACTGGCTAGAGAATACTTAGTAAACTCAATTATTTGCATCTAAAACTCTTCAAATATTTTTATTTCAAATTTTGATAGTTGAAATAGATAAACAATTTCAGTCCACCTGAGTTGATTATTCTGGATGGCTTCCTAGGCTCAAGTGTTTCACTCAGGGGTTTTCGCAGCTCCTCGTCCTCTGCACTACTGGTATCTCCACTACTTCTTGCAACCTGCAAACCAGAAACTTGACGATCCGGAGCGTCTGACAGAACTGAGACAACAGTGAGGCCAAGTTCTTTCTGCAAAATGCCAAGGACAACATCCCGCAGAACTGACTTGCCCTTCGTCTCGCTGTGGTTGCCGATCCCTGTGATGATTATCAAATCATCCTCTACAGGAATGCCATGCAGGTAGCGCTCCTTGATAGCTCGAAGCACAACTAACACAGCTGCCCGAGCCTCACCTTTGGTTAAGCCATGCAAGTCTATGGTCATGTGCCTGTTGTCCTCGGCTTCTCTCCTCGCATCAACAGCCACTTTCTGAAGCACTGCTTCTGAGAATTTCATCAAGCCGGCATCACCAGAAGCTACAAAACTCGACGGATTGGACAGGCCTTCAACCCACTCCTTGATTAGCTCCTGAAGTATAAAGTCATTCGGCACGTGGCCTGCCTCGCGCATTTCTTCGTACAAAGCTAGTGCGCGTTGCACTTCAGGGAGTGTCCCATAGTTTCGATGTCTTCGCAGCAAGCTGTTGTATGTGACTGCGTTTGGTCGCACACCCGCAGCTTTCATTTTGCTAAAATAGTCAAAAGCCTTTTCAAGGTGTCCTGCTTGGACACACGCCTGGATCAGATATATGCACACGGTTTCACCGTATACGCATACCGCCTACATCCAGCGTCTATCATGAAGCAGGAGCTGAGTTCACGTAGCTGCACCGGAGACGGATCTGACCTTCAGACCCCTCGAGGGGCTTGATATTGCCCAACCTCTGCATGGCAGGTCCAAATTTGGCGAAGAATTTTCCGTTGTTGGCGTTCTAAGTTACCGCGTACCGAGTCCTGGCGTCGTCGTACAGTACCTGATCCGACTGTAGAGTGCCCCTTCTGCTCATCAGGTTGGAGTAGTACTTGCCGTCGAATTTGGCACTGGTGCTCGTGTCGAGATCGAACTTCTTCTTCGTTAGACCAGGCTTGTCACATTTCTTCTTCAACTTGTCCAAGAAGTCTTTGGGGATGTTGGGGTCGACGCCTGATGGACTAGGGTACTTGTAGATTCGGTCGTCGAGATGGACGCATGCAGTCTCCCCGAGTGTGTGAGCGCCGGACAGAGTGATCATGTCGTCTAGATCCAGCCCGTTACTGGCGAAGTTGGCCTTCAGCTGGTCCACATTCATTTTGGTCCTGGGTAACGCAGCGACCGCTTCCGATGCTTTCGAGACAACTCCGTCGCGGCGTCCAGCTGCGACTGTGTAGAATGGCCCTCCGCTCAGTCTCACACTGTCACGGGCTGCGTATGTCAGGATATCGGCGCACGAAACGGTGCGAGGGCATACCTTCTCAATTTTGCCTTGATAACTTCCAGAGCGTCAAAGCCGTCAAGGCGAGCGTTGGGAGCGGCTGTTCTTTCCGTTCCTAATCCAGCTAAAAGCACGGACGCATCACATCCCTGCATTCACAAATTCAATATCCGCTTACTCGTCAGACAAGCTCACATCCATCAATCTACACTACTCTTGACTAGATTGAGAGTCAATGAAGACTAGATTGCCCATAGAATGACTGACTATGTGAAGCTTGTTAGTTTCCCAATACATTGAGTGTTTTTTCATTCATGTTGTGTCTACTATTATGCATGTCAACAGTATTCGGCAGCTTTTCGCTCATTCCCTGCAGACCCATCAGATAGCAGAGTAAGTCACCAGGTTTGCAAGGATTACTCACGCGAACGAAGCAGTCGTGGAAGAAAAGACGGAGGATGTAGGCAGGCAGATCTTCTTCGTCGACTACGAGCTCTTGCATCTTCTTGTAAATGGGGCAGCTGGTGGAGTAAAATTCTTCTCTCAGGGCACTGATCCCCGAGCACATTAAAAGTGTCATCGCCAAAACTGTGACTGTGATGATTGAGTAGGACGTCATGATCTCTCCCCTCCGAGTCATGTTCGTAAACCACAGGGGCAACTGCAATTTTTCCAATACAGAATAGTTTCCCCGACGTCGCGGAGCGCAGTGCGAAATGGATTCGCTGAGGTTTACGTCAACAGAGACAGTCGGCCAATTGGACTCACAGCCGGAATCGGGACTTGCTGTCCCTTGAGCTGTTTGCAATTTTGCACCTGCCGCTACTCCGGTTGTGTGTGTCACATAGAATTCTGGTGTTACCAAGAAGCTTATTAAACCTTTATGAGGATGATGGTGCTCCAGATAGGGATGAATGTGAACAGCCACACCCCTACCACTTCAAAGACTGCGCTTCGTGAATGTGATTTGGTTGCATATAACGTGGGCACGTTCCCCTGTGACAACGATGTTTTCACACCGCGCCACTGCAACTTGGATATAGAACTCCAATGCTGACAGCTGCATGCCGCAGCTGGAGGTTCGCTATGTACGGTGCAATGGACGGGCGTGAGAGTTTAGGATTAGGCGCAGTTGCGCCACTCTGTGCTAGTTTGATGATGGTTTGGGCACGATTGTTGATCTGTTCGTAATGTGTGATTGTTAATTAATCAAGTTTGTGAGCAATTCCTCTTCCTAAAGTTAACAAATGTTTTTTTATCTTTATTTTCTTTTTGATGGCATCTTCCGAATACATGGTGTGCATTAATATTGCTGCGCAAGGTGGGTCCCATACAACCAAGTAGAGGCAAGCAAGAGAACTCCACTTCAGTTGTTGCTCCTCAAGCTTCTTGATGAGAAATAAATTGCGGAAAAATGTTGTTGATTTGACTTAGATATTGTCATACTTCTAAAACCTTCAAAAACAAGTTGTGATTTCTTATTTTGTTGATGGAGTACAAATCTCCAAAATCATCACAAAGTGGATTAAAGGCCTAGACGAAGTTGTATTTGATAAACATGAAGTATCTTGTATTATTAAAAAAGTCTTCTTTACTATACATGTATAGTTAGAAGATAAATTTTGCCAAATCCTTGATAAGTCTCTATATTGATTGGAGTATAAATTATGTACATTCCAACTAAAGAATCATGCTTTTGATTTCTAAGTTGTATGACATTTGGATCCAATCTTTAGATTATATACTGCATATATACCAACTTGCATCATTTTAAAGCATTTGTTAAAACAATTTAAGGTAGTTGCCTTATAGATTGCCATCAAGCTTCAACATGTTTTTGGAGAAGATTTAGATACTTCTAAATTATAAGAAATGTAATATTTTGTAGGTATTCAAGTAGACATAGGATGGAAATCCAAAATTTTTGTTACTAATATTGTTATGCAAAAGCAAAAGAAAAAAGAAAAAATATTTTAAATTGATTATAAGATGTTGATTTTATTTTCTAATTACATATTGTATATAGAAATACCAAGTATTTTTGACCTCAAAAAGGTCAAAAGAGATGACATTCAAAGGCAACAATGATAAGAACAAAAATTTAAGTGGAAGAATATTGCAAATAAATACAAGGCATATACTTTATACAATGCAAATAATGAGCAAGCACACAACAAAACTTCACAATTCAATCATAGTGAGGACTTCATTCTAATTGTAAATTGCAAAAATAAGACAAGATAAAGAGAAAACAAGGATTCAAACAACACTATAATTCTATATTCATGCATTGAGAATATAATATAATTTCTTTTTGGCTATATATATAACAAATACAAAAATCAAAACACATCTATGGAGTAACATACTTGATTATAGTAAGATAATAAGGCAAGTCTGTGAACAAAAAATAAAAATAAACCCAAATAAATGTAGAAAAGTGATTATATATAGAGGCAATTCTTAAATAGCCAAAACATTATTGAAATCAAGATGGGCATGAAAGTTAGATAGAACTCAAGAGTCCCATCATGTGGTATCATAGATCATAATATACAAGAGACTTAGATGTAGTCTTTGGATTATCTTCAAAATATTAGAACATATCATATATATATATATATATATATATATAAACAAAACAAACAAATGCTGAAGTCTCGCCTTAGGTGTAAGGTGGATGGACTTAAGTGGGGTTGTACTCCCTCTATCAGTTATTCCAAAGCATCCGGAATACCCTGTTTTGAGTCAAAGAAAAAAATAGAAATAAAATGCCTGCAGCTAGCTTAAAAGTAAATGAAATTAATGGACGGGGAGCTCTAAGTCAAAAGGATTAACCAGCTCTTCAGAACGCACCGTTGTCTTTGTGCATTCAAGTAATGCTATTGACCTAACATGAGAAAGGTGAAATCGATGAGTTAGTTGAGCACAGCATACCTGCCACCCAAGCGTCTGCTAGCGGCACACTGCTGGCAAGGCTCCATCCACGCCACTCCTTTGAGCAGAATCCGGTTTCTACGTCTTTCTCGAGCGTGGAATCCACATGACAGAGTTCAGGATAATGATTCTGTCTCTTGCAACATTGTGTGACCAATCGTTCGAAAATGCAGCCGTCAGCCTGCAAAACTATGTACTACTATGAGAACCAGTCATGAAGCAGCGCTGGTAATCGCCTCCGAACTGTCCACTGAATCAATTCGAAATCAGATGAGAGATCCTAAGTCCAATAAGTCGATGACAATAGATCATACGATCAATGATCGAAAGAGGTACTGTGAATCCATCTGCGGCTAACTTAATGCCAGCATAAGGAAATGGGAAGGAGGGAATTTAGATTGAACCAACCAACATTCTCTCATTTGCATAATCAAGCTGTCGAAATCATATTTCATTCCAAGAGAAGTTCACTCTCCTAATTTTAGATCCGCTTTTTGTTCTCTCCATTTGTAAGCAAGGACCATGCTTCATCCCTGTTGGCACAAAGCTACTCATAGCTCACTTTGTAGCCTTTGTTTTAACTTTGGTTCGTTCAATTATATTTGCTACAATTTATTCTTGTCTGTTAGTGCACAGTTATGGAGGGAAACTCAGCCTCTGGAGCAGTACAACGGGTTGATTTTGCCCTGCCAAGCGCCCCTCACGGTGAAGACAGCCTAAGCCCTTCTTGCGCAGAGCGTTCACTTCCACTGAAACGTCGGTGGATAGGTCATTCATGACACAAGGAGAACCTCATTCCAAGTTGACGTGTTTCTGTTTCGATCCATATTTACTGATCCTCACCGCAAGCAATGAGCAGCAGATGACCGCGTAGCTAACGATCACGAACGTGAATAACAGGCTGTAAAGATATCATCCCTGCAGCTGTGCACGGATGTATCCTGCTTGTGCATGCCGCACGCAACATGATCGATTTGAAGTCGGTGCTGAACCCTACATTCGATTGCAGTGGAAACCAGACCTCGTGTACTGCACCATGTCGCCCTCGCTCAACTGCGGTAACGAACCCGATTTTATCGACCACTTTTTGAAGCAGCGATGATGTGGGTCGAGTTCGGAATGGCTTTGGGATGCACACGGAGCCTGCGGTGATAATTCTTATTGGTTGACGAAAGCTGCAACAGAGGCCTGGATTGACTGTATCCGCAGAGGCCAGAAGCTTCCATTAGTCCTACCTTCGGCGTTGAACTTTATTTTATTGCGCAGGGGAGTTTGAAGGGCAGCACTCTTGGAAAGCTCTGGCTTTGCGTGATACTTTCAGTCGACGTCATTGATGGGAAAGGAGTGCTTTCGCTCCGACTCATATGAGACAATCAAATCCTTCGATCGCGTCACTGAAAAAGTCAGTCTTCTGTGCCAGGGTATATGCCACAGTTGTATCAAAAGAACAAAAAAGAACAGGAAAACTCATTCTTCGGGGTTGAGAGTGACGAGACAATTTTCGCTCTTTTTGGATCCAAGATGTTAAAAAGCATCCACAAATCCATAGAGACGTGCTCGCACTGGCGTGCCTGCAGCTGCGATTGCAACCAGGATTGCCAAGTGTTTTAAGGGGAACAGAGAAGTAATCAGATGGTCCACTAACACGAATACAAAGAGCAGCTGTTTGGGAGTGTTTTTTGTAGAAGAATGTGCAAGGATTTGTTTTAACGGCCTCCTCGTGATGCTGAAAGAGTAAAAGAATGCAAGTTCAAGTGAGGAGAGGACCTCATGCCATGAAAAAAAGAAGATTTCTTCTGTAAACATAGCCTCTCTAAGGTGGAAGTTGATATTGTTCATAATCACATGGTTTTGGGGCAAGAAGCCCCATCTGGATTGATTGTAGTACTCGTTCATACAATGAAGTAGGAAAGCAAAGTTCAATTACACAACAAGACGGATATTTAAATATGCATTTTTACTTAAAGTTAAAGTTAGAATAATTGATTACATAGATCTTGCTATTATGTGCATATGATATTTTTAGTGGAATATATTGATCTTAGACTTGAAATTCTAATGTTGAGTATTAAGAATATTAGAATCTAGAAAGTGAAAATTAATCATATTTAAGAGTTTTTCAAATAGGTTATTAAGAATTCATATAAATTAAGATTTTATATTTTCCTAAATTTAAGGAATATATAGAGGATTGAAGTATAAGTCACAAATGTATGTATATATATATATATATATATATATATGTATATAAACTACAATAACTTGCAATCAAACCCGGAATTTACTTACAAAATAATTTTTGAATAAAAAACTATACGTGAATATTTAAAGCCAAAGAATGTTAGGCCAAATATTTAGCAAAATAATGAAAATAAATCTAATTACAGGAAGTAAATCTCATTTTTTAAAGAATTCATTTACATCTCTTTCTTTTTTTCTTTTCTAAATCCATTATTTACAACTTGTGAATAGTAATTTGATTTCAAGTTAAAAATTAAAAGTGTACTAAAATTAAGATTGTGTGTAAGCAAAGTTAATGTATCTCCTTAAATAACTTTTAATTTTCATAATTGTGTCAAATAAAGAAATGCAAAGAATTGAGCCATCAAAGAGATTACTTGATTTTAACGAATTTGATAGTTCTGCCTACTCGGCTTTTCATTGCATCACCACTAACAAGAATTTTATTTTTTTTGAAAGTTTTTGTAAAATATTATAACTTAATAAGAATATAATTTTAATTTTTAAAATCAATTCAAGTACTCTTTTATGTACAAAAGTGTTTCAATGTAATATTATTGTTATTAATTTAATTTTTTTAAGTGATATAAAATTTACAAAAAATTCTTTTGTTAAAAGATTCTATACTTTCAGCACTTTTAAGCA